AAAATATGTTAAACTTAAATCGGTAAATGTACAAAATATGTTAAACTTAGACCGGTAAATGTACAAAATATGTTAAACTTAGATCGGTAAAAGTACAAAATATATTAAACTTAGATCGATAAATATGAAAAAAATTGGTAAACTTAGACAGGTAAAAGTATAAAATATGTTAAACTTAGACCGGTTGATGTATAAAAAATATGTTAAACTTCGACCGGTAAATGCACAAAATATGTCAAACTTAGACCGGTACCGTAAATATATGGCACGCCGATTGCTTCAAAATTATTTTCTGCACGACCTTAAACAAAAATTACACGAGTAAGTAAAAACTTACACAAAGTGAGGAAAATATGCACGAAGTTATTGAAATTTATACAAACTATAGAAAAACTGCACAATCAACAAAATATTTACACAATATTGTGAGAAAATTACACAAACGTAAAAACGAAAACTGCACGAGTGAGAATACAACATCGACATAATATGGAACGCATCCTCATTGCGCACATTTCATTAATATTCATTAGATAACAGGTCAATGTGGCTTGGATGCTTGAAACCTTAATATTCCGCTAGACTCTCAAGAATATGTACAACGTATATTATACATGTAGATAAACTGACAAGCACACAATCTTAAACTTGTAGTATATGAACACTCCCGATTAAAAAACATTCTACAAAGAATACATGTATAGATAACGTAAAAAAAGGGGGGGGGTGCATATTACCGTTGTGTGTTTAATTGTTGGATTTTTTTTAGTAGGTCATTCCTCTAAATAGCAAATTCTTTTGAAAGTTTAAAACAATGACATATAGCCCTAAATTGAAATAAATAAAAACAACATGTGATATAATACAGGAGAGTTAACAACAAATCAAACTCTTCTCCTCCACCACCCACTGAGTGTACTTTTGGTAATAATCAAGGATGTGCATGCGTGACCTTTTCATTCAGAGATCCCTCCCTGCTGGTTCTGGAACGAAAGACACCTGTACGCTAATCGATTTATAGCTATTTCACACACCAATAATACCTTTTGATCAAAGATTACTGGTAATTCATACACAGATTTTGAAGCAATGTTAACGTTGCGATCATCTGGGTTGTGGAATTTGACCGAAAACTTTTTGGAAGTCAACAGTAAAGAAAATCGAGCAAATAATTGCGCAACTGAAATTTTAATATTGAAACATATCTCACTTTTTGATAAAATTTATGTATGTAACAAAGTAGTACATGTAGTCTTAACTTTTGAGCAACGTATGGTGATTTCATAAAACTCCATGAAACTGTAGAAAAATTATACGTCGTTTTACTTCTGTGAATTAAAGCTTAATTTTATGTTGTTTTTAATGTACCGGCGGTAGTCTATTTTGAATAGTTAAAATGCATATAAAGGAGTGAAGAAAATTTAAAATTATAAAATACAGGCACGTAGTATCGTTTTTGAAAGGTGGGGGGCAGCCAAAATTTTTTTTTTTTGACAGCCTACCTGAAAAAAACCTTGACAAGCAACAAAAAAGGTAAAGTGTCCGAACTCGAAAATCCTATTTCGTGGGGGAGGGGGGTCCACCTTCCTCTTTGTTTTCGAAACACATTATAACACCAAATTACTTTGATTTAAACTATCCTACAACAAGGGGGGGGGGGGGCAACCAGCTTTTTCAGTGGACATTTACAATAGAAGTAGGTTATGTTTGGAAAAAAGTGGGGGGGGGGGGCAGGCCCCTACTGATGCTACGTGCCTGTAATATTTTCTAAGAATTTAAGGGTACATATAATAGTATATCGAAATCAGGATTGCAATTTAACTGATTTGTAACGATATTGTAAGACCAAATTCAAGAAGATGTACAAGATGAACTTAATTATTTGGGACTTGGCTACACATGCATATTTATTTTCAATGCAGATTTTGACAATAATAAATTTGCACACGGTAATAAAAAAAAAATTTCTTGAGGTTTATATTCATCATATGTTTTCTTATATTTATTCGTAGTCATGCTCAAAGTAAAACAAGACCTGGTTGATGCCATTGATACACATGTACAATATAAAGCAAACTTTTTAATTACTTGTACATATATACGTACAAAATTCATATTGCATAGATTAGTCTTTTTAACTCATAATCTGAATTTTCAAAAATGTTAGATATGCACATGAATAATCTTATAAAAAGTGGAGCTTTATCATATATGTTAGTTGAATGTTATTTAAGATTATTTTCATTTTATAATTATACAGTCATGTTCTTTTTATAATGACTATAGATTTGGGTAAAAAAGTGTTATTATAAAAAACAAGTGTTCGGATAATAATTAAAATTTTATGCATACAAATTCGAAATGTAAATAAATTTGTTATCTTGGAAAATCTTTGTCAAACCTCGAGCTCCATAAAGAACATGATTTATTTGCATTTTCAAGAGCGATAAAACACGTTCTATGTTCTTTCTATTTATTATAGTATCCATTCCCATTTTCTTATTTGTAACATTGTACGTAGATGTATTTAGTAATTCACTGTTTTAAAATTTCTGATGTGTCATTTTGGTCCAACGATTTGAAACTTTAATAAATACATATAGATTCAGATGTTGCGACTCAATCAATCCACGAACCAGATCCGCCACTAATGTCATTAGTTTTACCGGTGCCAGGATCATTTGAGTAGAGTTTTTTATTTCATTTGGACAAATTTTAAGTAACAAAACACAAAACCGCATGTATATAAAGCACATAGAGTATATTTTTTTTCTTTATCTGGCCCTTTTTTATTAAAAGTGGAAACATTTATCAAGTAATTGCCATTACGAATGAGGGTAACGCTTACCCTTAGGAACGTCTTGTTTTTTAATGAGCAGTTTTTGACTGAAAATATGCGATATTATGGAAGGAATTCATAACAGTGTAGGCTACAGATATCTAACCAAAATTGACATCCTCATATTTTATAAGTAAAGATACATGTATAATTAGAATTTTTTTTTATATATTTGACTTTAAAAACATACTGTGTATATCTAATGTCAGGTAATCCCCACTTTTTAATCTTTTTGAAAATAAAAAATATATACCAGTTAACTGAATAACTTCCTATTCCTAAATGAAAAAAAAAATCTGCTCAAATGAAATCATAATTAGTACAAATGAGAAGTACCGAAATAAATTCTACAATTTAATGATTATAATCAGCAGTAAGTCTGCCATCGTTTTCATGAAGAATCCACTTTATTAATCGTTTTATTATGCATGTGTTAATTTTATTTTATACAAGTAATTTCCGTTAAAGTTGTATCTATAAGTTAGATAATTTTAAAAGGCCATATACAGCTTATATTTTGAAAAAAAATAAATTAATAATTCTATCATTTTCTTAAAGCAAGATCTGTTTGTCGTTAGGAATTTAGAGTTTACTGTGTATTACTTTTAGTTCAGAGTCGAGAGTGCATCATATGCAATGGTACCCCCCCCCCCCCCCCCGCATTATATCACAACCATGCGATTCCTTTCTTGTCACAATTTATGTCCGGCATCATATAATACCTCCATATTTTGGCTAGGATCTCGGTCAATATCAGAAAAATATAATATCTCCGAACAACTTTTAATTTTTTTCACACAGTTCACAAGAAAACACTTCATTCGTTTGATTTGCATAAGCTAGAAATCGGATCGAGTTTTAGCAAAGAAATAAAGAAGCAAACAAACATGCATATCATCGTCAACGCCATTTTCTCTCGATTACATCCAGCATTCAAGAAGAGATAAAGAGTACAGAAAACCAAGAACACAATGAATATTCTATGTGCATAATAATGATATGCGCAGCTGTGTGCGCAGTAAAATTGTTTGTGTAATTTTTAGTTTCCTCTGCTCGTGCAGTTTTTGATTTTTACGTTTGTGCATTTTATACCCATTAATCGTGTAAAAAATTTCGGATTCGTGTATTTTTCGTTATGTTAGTGTTAAAATCTTTCAAACTATGTGCAATTTTTACCGATACGTGCATTTTTATTTTACTCGTGTATATTTTTCATCAAGCTCGTGTATAAAATCGTGATCGTTGTGCAGAAAATAATTTTGAAGCAATCGGCGTGCCATATAAATGTACTAAACACGTTATAGTTACAGATCGGTAAAAGTACAAAATATGTTAAACTTAGATCGATAAATATAAAAAAATATGTTAAACTTAGATCGGTAAATGTACAAAGTGTGTTAAACTTAGATCGGTAAATGTACAAAATATAATTATGTTGAACTTAGTTTGATGAAATTAATGTTCAAAATATGTTAAACTCAGATCAGAAGTATTTCATTTATGTAAATTGTTTATATACTAGTATTGTCTTAACAGGAAATTCTTATTTGATGTGTCGACATTAAAAATAAAAATTACAGGGCATATTTCATGATGAGAGCAGAAATCTCGTATGAATAATATTCAAAAAGTAAGGGAAAAAGTATTATACCTAAGTGCATTCTTATAAAAATTAATTATTTATTTGACTCAGTATTATATCTTGTAAATAATTTACATGCACAGGGGCGAAGCCCAGTTTTCTACCGAACGTACCCTTTCTCTGTAGTCTGTAAACATGTAGGTATAGGATATTTGAATGGTAACTTGTGGGACTCATAACCTGGTGCGAGTTAATCATGTCAAAATAAAAAATAAATTAAACTTTATTTAAATATGCTGAGCATGACGTTAATATATTTGACAGTAGGGAATTTAATCACGTTGATATACAAATAGCCTACTTTGGGTATGAACCAATATTTTTATAACGAAAATACTTAATGCATAGACGCATTTGTACAACCATTTTGCTTTGACTGCACTCAAACATTTTTTGCATGCATCAGCGAAACTAAGAAGAACATTTGAAAAAAAAAATAATTTTCAGGCACTGTTTGAATTCATCAATTCTTACTTAATTAATTTTCATTCTCTTTCATTCGTATTTTTACAGATTTCAGGTAGAACTTGAACATCTTAAATTCTTAAATTATGGAAAAAACACGTGAAAACAGAGGCTGCTGTCTTGTTAGAAAGTTCCGAAAATCTCTGAGGCGTCATCTACTGTTCATTCTGACTCTCTTGGCAGTAATCTTTGGATTCGTATTAGGATTTACGATACGTCTCGCAGAACCTTCGAAAGACACGATACAATGGCTTGGTATGTATGACCTATTTTTAAGCTTCAACAATAAGTACATGGACCAATAGGTACACGGCTAATATGTTGACGGTGCGACCGTTGGGGCGAGCGCATTGTTCACTTCATTTTAAGATCCGCCTCTTCAAACCGCACGAGACATTTGGAACGTCTAGACTGTGACGTCACATGACGTCGTATGTTAGCTGCATTTCCATAAACAAAGTTTAAAAAGTGCAAATATTTTAACAAAGAACGTTTAATTAATCTACTATCTGCATGCAATAGCCATTAATTAAGGTGAGTTTATTTTTTGTGAAATTTTAGTTGTTGTCACCGCGTGAACGAAGTTAGCAGCGAGAACAAGAAGCGATGCATTGTGGGTCAGAAAAAATTCTATTGAATGAATGTGCAGTAGTCCGAATTTTCTCTTCGCCCAGGCGTTGTCGTTAGAGCTCGCAGTGACGAGCGGCGCTTCGCGCCGCTCGCTGCGCTCGCTATTATACTTGACAAAAATTAAAGTACATGGATTACATATTATGTAATAAAAGGTTCATATATCACATATGAGACAAAAATAGGTACATGGATCACATGTGACAACAATAGATACATGGATCATATGAGACAACAATAGTTACATGAATTGCATGGGACAACAATAGTTACGGGGAGCACATGTGACAACAATAGATACACGGATTTTATATGAGACAACAATAGTTACAGGGATCACATATGAGACAACAATAGCTACATGGATCACATGTGATAGCAATAGATACCTGGATCTTAGATGAGACAACAATAGTTACAGGGATCACATATGAAATCAGAATTGGTACATAGAAGAGATGGGACAACAATAGGTACATGGATCATATATGTGAAAATAATAGGCTCATGGATCACACTATCATGAGATAACAGTTGTTTCTTTTATCACATAGTTTCTTGGATCACAAATGAGATTATTATAGGTACAAGGATCACATTCGTGATAAAAATAGGTAGGTAGATCATGCGTGAAAATCAGATGAACAAGGATCAAATATACCGTCACGGTAGCTCAGTCGGTAGAGCGTTCGCTCCGTGATTGGAAGGTCGTGTGTTCGAATCACAGCCGCGACTGACCTAAGTTGATAAAAAATTAGGTAGCAACTAGGCACTTTGAAGTGAAAGTTGTTGGTCCTTCGGATGAGACCTTAAAAACCTAGGCCCCGTGTCACGTTAGGCGTTGGCACAATAAAGAACCCTCGCTACTCAATGGCCCTAAGTGCCGAGTAAAGGTCTAAATTTGAAGCCCTTCACCGGTATATGGTGACGTCTCTATGAATGAAAAATTGTCGAATGGGACGTAAAACAAAATGCAATCAATCAATCAATCATGGATCAAATATGTGATAACAATCGTTTCTTCTATCACTTATGAGATAAATATTTACTTCGATTACATATGCGATAAAAATAGGTTTATGAATCACATATGAGATAAGAACAGGAACGTGGATCACATATGTGATAATAATAGGTACATGGACTACTTTAAGTTGAGTCGTCTGACACTAGCATCTACTAAAATTCTTATTCTGACCTAACATCAAGAGAAGGTGTCGAGAGTGACTAAATAAGACTAAATGAGTCAAGGATTCTGATTAATTTCATAATTTATGTTTTTATATAAAAATGATGCCCTTACTTAATCTGAACAATTTTCTCCCATTGACTATCGGGAATAGTTTTACATCTTGTGTATCAGATTTCATTACTCAAATGTTTGAACATTAGCTTTGAATCTCACCATTGAAGGTATAATTATGCATATAATTTTAAATTTACAATTTATATATTAAATTTGGAAACTCACTAAATGCTGTATAAAAATATACAATGTCAATATACAATTTACAAAAGGACAACCCTTAATGACGTCCATTTTGCCAGCATTTTTGATAAATTGGATTCTACACAATACGAGAATACCTGTATCTTATTTTGTTAAATTCTGGGGGTTTGTGGTCCTTGAGGAGATTTGTTCTTAATCCTCATAATGTATTCACACAGCATGTAAAACTGTTAACTTCTTTTATGGTACAAGCAACCTAGTATGAAGCCGTATAATTCTGATAAAATTTAAATCTACATATTCCCTACATGAGGATGCTTTCATATCAATATAAAAATTTATAAGATTTGAGAAAATTTTGAAGGATGTTCGGTATATTTCTTTGTAAGGGTTTGAACATCTGTTGTGAGTTATCCTATGATCTGTGTAAACTGCACCGTCTGATGTTCTTATCCATAAGATGTTTAACAAGAGGATTTTGAAAATAAAGACTTTCATTTGAATTTTGTTCATTTGAATTCCCCATCCTCAAGAGGGCATTGTGACAAAATTAATATTAGGGGTCTAAGGAGGAAAAAGGTCAGGAATCCTGTTATTAAATGCCGTGTAATTTTGCAGATCATACTGACGTTCTCTTTTGATAGAAGTAAATAATTACACAGAAACCTTAATATATATGTAAGTAGCCCATGGCCTTGTACTTTTCATCGGTCGATGGACAAATAAGTCTGGCCATTAGGATACGAGGCTTATGGCATTCATGCGTGGGACTGAGTTAAGGGCCTGTATATGTGGCTATTTTTGTGAAATTCTTTTGGGAAAAATAAGTTACATTGACCACATATCAGAAAAGTAGCATGTTAATATGTTAAATACAGAATGATGAAGCAACCTTGTCAGCGTCACCTGATTGGTTACATGTATAATTCAACCAATGTAATACATAATGCTAATATGTAAATAATTTCCAATTACATTAATATTAACTAAGACTACTTTTCTCAGCTAGGTTGGACATGCAAATTTTAAATCAGAGGTCGAGAACTTCGTGCACATAATTGAAATTGGAGAGTTTTATTTTATAAATCATTTTTAAATAAAACAATCATTTCTACTTTACAGGGATGCCGGGAGAACTTTTTCTTCGATTGTTAAAGATGATGATAATACCTCTGTTGGTATGCAGTGTTATACATAGTAAGTGTTACGGAACAATTCTTATACTGCCAAAACATGTACCGGTATATAATTGTATATTTGGGTTTATAAAATTTGTTCTGAAGTTTGTATAATTGTAACTTGTTCACTTAAATCATAGCCTGGAGATATAATGCTGTTTTTTTTCCAAAATAAAACCAATGAATCGATTGAGATTACTACAGTTACTTAAGGTGGTCGTCCCCTTTTTCAGGCACTGCGTCTCTTGATCCCAAGTCCAATGGTAAAGTCAGCGCCATCGCTTTCATTTACATACTTCTCACAAACATCCTGGGCTGTGTGATAGCTATAGCTCTGTTCTATGTCATCAAACCAGGTAAAGTTCTGCTTATTGTGAAGTACGTCACCAAATATTGTGAAATACAATTTTAAAAAAGGGTAGATTATCTTAAATGTCGATTTATTTTTATCTAGGTAGTGATAGTCCTCTCAGTAAGGGGAAACCTGAAGTTTATGAAGCTAATCCACAAGATATATTTGCAGACTTGTTAAGGTAATATTTGTTTTGCATAGCGACAGGTATAGTTACGGAAGCCCAATAGCGCAAACCAAAACTAAAAAAAAATTACAAAATAAAAAACGAAAGTAAAAAAAAAAGGAAAGTAAATAAAAAAGAGAAAGAAATTATTATACACAGCGAGTGCATTGTAGATATTATGAATGTCATTGTTACCTTTTATATCACCGAGTCTGATTTGATTTTTTAAAAACACATTTACAGTCAAACCTTGTTATCTTAAACACGAAGAGGCCAAAATTAAACTTTGAGATATCCGAGGCAGGCACGTAGGAAGCAATTTCAGTTTGGGGGGGGGGGGGCACAGCCATACATTTTCAGTTTGAGGGGGCACTATCAACTACCAAAAATTCTTGACAAGCAAAAAAAAAAAAAAAAAGAAAAAAAGGTCTTCCGGCGTTTTGATTGAGGGGGCAAAAATGTATAGTAACTATGTTTTCTATAGTAATCTATACATCGGCAAAATTATTGGGGGGGGGGGCACGCCCCCCCCCCCGTGCCCAACCCCCCCGGTTCCTACGGCCATGCGAGGATTAGAGATAAAGAGGGTAAAAATCATAAAGAAAAGGTGTTTGGGTCTGCCAACTCACATCGACTTATCCCTGGTATTCAAATTATCGGTTTCGGGATAACAAAGATCAACTGTCTATAAAATTTAATGCAATGTTTAAACGTGCTTGAAAAAGAGGGTCGAAACGTATATATTTTACTTAACTTTGTGATTTAATTGTAAACATTCAAAGTTTGTTCTTCACTTTCAGAAACATCATACCTGATAATATTGTTGAGGCTTCTTTTCGTCAATCGCAAACGAAATATCTACAGAAAGAGGTGGAACAATTAATTCCGGGAAACTCTTCATATCAGAATGCGTCGACCAATCAAAACGCATCAACTATCCACGTGGTTCGAGAGCTAGTGAAATCAGTGGGGAAGACAGATGGCGCTAATATACTAGGTAAATAGCATAAAATTATTTGAAAAATAAAGACAATCAAATACTCTTTTGTGTTTGCAACGCTGTAAACAGTAGGTAGATTACATGTCAAGATTTGAACCTAAATACTGTAGACCTCTATCACTTTTTATTCACGAGAACTTTATTTTGGCGTAATTACGCGAGACAGTCTGCTAGCGAGAATTTAATTCTTGCGTATATTTGTAGTACAAAAGATTAATAGAACAATAATCAGAGTTCGTGAAAATTATGTTTCACTTATAAATACCAAATGACCATCTCGCGAAATCAAAGTGTCGCCAAAATTTGGTTATCTACAATAGAAGAAAAAGAAATTGCTTTGCTATTTATAATACCAATCGAGAATTATCTAATGATATTATTTGGTAGGACTCATTACTGCCTGTATGTTCCTGGGAACAGCTGCTGGTAAACTTGGAAAGAAAGCGAAACCATTCCTGGAGTTCTTTGCAGTTAGTACTGAAGTAGTTTTACAAGTTCTACGATGGTTCCTTTGGTACGAAAATTATCTTTAGAATATTATAAGAATAATAATATAAATAGGCTTTTTGACTGTTTCTCAAAAAATAGCTTTTAACTATAAGTGAATGATATATAAAAAAAAAATATGTAGAAACCGGGGAAGAGAAAAAAAGGTCTTTTTTCGACCGAAATTAAGGATCTCTGATATGAATATTCATTAGAGATCACTGACAATATGAATATTCATAGAAAGCATTAAAAATATTTTTTTTCTTTCACAGGATGACTCCACTTGGCATTGGAAGTCTTATTGCAGCCTCTTTAGCAAGTACCCGTGACATAAGTAACACGTTTTCAAGTTTGGCTCTCTTCCTGTTGACAGTTACGATCGGGATCGTCCTTCACCAGGCGTTATTTCTGCCTTTAATTTTATTTCTAACAACCAGGAGAAACCCATTTATATACTTTATTAGTGTAGGTCGGGCATGGCTTATAGGATTTGCTGCTACAAGCACGTAAGTAAAATTATAATACATCATCGATCAGAATATTTAAAGAAAGAAATTCAAAATCTGACATGTCTTTTTTTTAAATATATTTTGGTGTTTTTCAAGAGAAAGACATTGATGTCACATTAACAGCTAAACTTTGTGATATAAACTGCATATAATTTCTATACTGAAACAGGTTACTGAAAAATGAGTTGATGCTACAAGGGTATCAACAATTTTCTTTTATGCCAATATTTCATAAATTCTATGGTCAATACAATGGCCTTGTTTGAGCTATACCTACCGTTAGTCCGAATGGTGACTAATGTTGTTAATACCAATTGTTAGGCCATTATTTTCGCACTGAATTGTCTATGGAATAAGTTTGTTTACCTGATAAAGACAAAGTGCTAATGGCGGGTATGACCAATTGACAGGGGATGTTTACTTCTCCATGGCACATATTACCTCGGATGTTTTCAGGGGTCCGTGTTTGCTATGCTCTCAATTTGTATTGGTTAATAGAACTATTGAGCTTTTCTACAGTAACTGTTCGTTATATTAAAATTTCATGGACAACATCATAGAACTCTACGGTCTACTGAATTATTCTAGTCAATACTAAGAAATTTATATGTATGATAACATATATTTTCTTTTGTTTTCCAGAGCTGTTGCTATTCCTGAAATGTTAAATGCTTGTGAAAACAAGAACAACATTGACAAGCGAGTCAGTCGTTTTGTCATCCCATTTTGTGTTACACTGAATGCCGATGGCAGCGCTCTTTTTATCACAGCGGCCGCCATGTTTATAGCCAATATCACCGGCCAGTCACTGTCATTTGGAGATGTCGTAATTATAGGGTGTGTATTAAATAGAATCTATCTAATTATCTAACAGACAGGTTATGTACCATACACATGTCTTGGCAGTAAATGCTTTTTTCCCTATGATTGTTGGATAGTGACAGCGGGGACATGTAATCATACTTCCCTGGTGACAGTTACAGAGCTTTTCATATATCGTTTCTAATATTTCAAAGATTACTCGGATGCATGCGGCTTATTCGTTATAGCCACATTATTTATAATAGCCACATACATTGTATTTTGTTACTTAAAGGCACAGATCGAAGTAGCAGACGTTGATAGCTATATGTAAAGCTGATACGTATAGCTACACAAGTAGGGAATGTTAAAAGCTACCTATAAAGCCGACTAATAGCTACTCAAGTAGAGGATGCTTATAGCTTACACAAGTGGCCACGGTGTAGCCAAAAACCAGATAAAAAGCTGAAACTATTAGCCACACATTGACAAATAGAGTAGGTAAAACTTGTAGATTCATAGAAAAGTTACGCCTGTAGCCATACAAGTAGCGGACACCAATAGCCAAGCATAAAGCTGACACTAAAAGCCAAACAAGTATTCTAATGGCTAAACATGCCAATGACGAAATATGGCTGAAGTACTGTCGACTAGGCGTTTAACAATAAACAATCAATCTACCAATCAAGCTGACACAAATAGTCACACATTATCCAATATAATTTGACGCTACAAGCTACTTAAGTAGCATGTGCTAATAGTTACATAAAATAGTAATTCAAATAGCCACACAAGTAGCAGACGTTAATAGCTACATATAAAGCTGACGCATATAGCCTCACAAATAGGGCATATATATTTATAGCTACATATTTAAGTAATAAAGCTCTATAGCTACAAAGTAGTTACACTTAGATGCTTCTACGATAACAATTTACTGACTTCAACGGGTTACTGTAATAGTTCGTTATTTCCATTTTTTAGCTCTATAGTTACACACGAGTTGTATTGAGATTTTTCTGTAATGACAGTTTAGTTTTTTGTAACTGTTCGCTATTTCCATTTTTAAAGCCCTGTAGCTACACACTAGTTACATTTAGCTGTTTCTTTGATTACAGTTTACTGACGGCTATAGCCAGCCTCGCCTTACCGTCCGTTCCGAGTTCCAGTATCGTAACTCTTATTATGATATTGTCCTCACTGAAGATCCCAGTGGAAGCCGTGTCTCTCTTGTTTGCTGTGGAATGGTTTATGTATGTATTGTCTGGTTGTTAATTTTTATTCATTTTCTCTTTATATTAAAGTATATGTTTAAATCCAACTATTCCAGGTGATTGTAATTTTAAAAAAGGCAGATTATTTATTTAATTATTTTTATTTTACACTTGTATATATTTATTTATGTATTCATTTTTTATTTATTTATTTATTTATTTATTTATGTATTTATTTATTCATTTATTTATTTTTTTGCTGTTTGCACACATTCTCTCAAAAATGATTTCCTCTGGACTTTAGAATTAAAACCGAATTTCTAGACCCCCCCCCCTTTTCAATAAGGAAGTCCTGTCATTTAGCTAATTCTGATTTTTGTTTATTATAGGGATCGCATTAGGACCACATCAAATCTTTTAAGTCACACCTGCTGTGCAGCCATCACAGATCACTTTTGTCAACAGAATTCACAGACAACAGAGGACCCGGAACAGGAAGTTGAACTTATTGTGTATTCACCGGAAGCTCTGAATCCATGACAAGAAGATAAACCAGCCATCCTTCTGTATGAAAGTTGGAGAATATCTGGTTGTAAATGAACTGGATCTCTATCTAGAGTCGTATTTCTCAGGTTGTTTTGTAAATTAAAAAATTCAGCTAAAACACTTAAAATGTGTTCAAGGTTAGGGTTTTACATTATAATAGTTTTCCAAGAAAAATATTTTTATATATTTATGAGATTTTTTTCATCATAGGCAAGCAAAATTTATATTTGCTAGTTGCAAATAATTTGTAACTTGTTATTGTTGTGTAAAATAAATTTTATTTTCATATTTAGCTTTTACGTTCAGAATTGTTTTATATGAAGGATATTAAAAGAATCACCTGTCCTTTTTGTTTTCTTACTGCAGAGCATTCTATAGTACTCTATTGTAGATACTTGTATGAGGAAATTACAATTGACTGCCGTCATGAGAAAAGGGCCCTTAAGGTCAAAATTTCACAAATTGACTTTTTGGTATATTTTGATAGCCTGACTCTTTCTGAATGCAAAAATACATAACTTTTAAAAATATCTCAATTTTTCAATATTTTATGAGCATTTTAGTAAATCGCCTCAAAATAACGTTGACGTTACTCACTGAAAATGTAATGACGTCGCGTGCGTCAAATTCAGTTTCCAAACATTCTTAAAATTATTTAAATAACTTTAATCGTTTTGACACAAATAAACTTGAAAAAAAAAATTGACTTCTTCTTCCAAGCTTCTAGTATGTAATTATTCTTAAGGAAAGTTGCCTTTATAGTTCATACTATTTTAGAGACAGATTCAGTGATATCGTAAAGGAGGGGGGTGGGATGGCCATGACAGGATCCAGGAACGGTTTATATTCATTTGAAAAAATAATATTTGTACAATTCCACTATTTCAGCACAAGATATTCTTTTTATATTTAATACTCTAGCCAAATTTATACATTATATAAAACACTTGTAAATTAAAAACATTAAAAAAAAAAACTTCACAGAGAAAGGATAGATTCAACCCAAGGAAGGGCAACGCGCGTAACGCAGGACATCAGCACATCGATCCCGATATATATAAAAAAAAATATTTTTGGTTTAATATAAGCAGGCATTCACTCAGCCCCCCCCCCTCTCGACACACAGACACACACACGTTGTTATAGGAGGGGAATAATATATGTAACACTTTATGTATTTTCTGTATCACCAAAGAATTCTAATGGACGCCATAATGTTTTTTTTTTAAAGCATCTTCAGTTCATAAAAAAATCATAAATAATAAATATGTTCTGTACATCCGAGCGATTTTTTTAAATAAACTTTTTAAAAATACTTTGATAAAACAAATGTTTAATAAATTTTCATTGTTCATCATACAATTCAATTTCTTCTCCTGTCTTAGTAACATAAATGAGAGACACATAATGATGTCAAAGGATTGTCGTTTAAGAAAGGTTAATTCGTACGTGAAAATTGAAACTGTTTCTCAACTTCTTTAAAAATTTCAAAGCAAATCATGCTTAATAAAAAAAAAAAGCTGCTATAAATGCTTCTATACTTTTTTTTTTTTGGGGGGGGGGGTGCTTTGCACCTGTGGTTTCCACGCTACTACTGTATCACTTGGACACAACAATCGTTCAATATTTCTTAGAAGGGTCGCTAATGTAATCTCAAAAAGAAAACTTTATAAAAATTGGTTTCTGTAAAAATGATTCAATGTCGAAACGATTTGGCAATTCGCTATCATATTGCCAGATACTAATTACTCTGTATCACCTGCTGGACATGCAAAGATAGCCGGCAGACACGTGTCATATTTTAAGCTTATCAATGCTCGACATTTCAATTCTAGAAAAATTTAATTCCTTGTAACATTGCGCTCGATCTGAAATAATAACCTCCCTGGATTTTTGGAATTGATAAAATCTCGTCAGATATTAATCACTCACAATGCATGTGTAAACGATTGTCTGGTTTCCAACTCAGATTTACGGAAAGTTCTGTAAAAAATAACATTGTATAGTTTGATCAAAGAGAGGGCTGTACTGCTCTTGACTCTTTTTAATATATGTACACTTAATGGAGCTGGAACGAAATCTATTTGAAATTGAAACTGAATATCTTTCAAGACTTAAATATATTTTTACGCAATTAAAGTCATCTATTCACCTTAATCCGTGACATCAGCTAACTTGACATCAAAGGTTTTCAGAAGTCTTAAGCAATAATTAAATATTACGTCCAATACACGTTATATTTTTTGTATGATGCGTTTAAGCAATATTCCTTGAATGTTTGAAACTCTTCCGCTCTAAGTTGAATCTCTTCATAGGAGACTTAGTATCTGCTTGTGACGTGGAAGCTAAAAGTAAAATAGGCAATCCATTTTTCAAAGAATACCACTTTCTTGGAATGGTGAGATTAAAGAACATGACTCGTATTTTTTGCCTGTCACCACTCGACTGGAAGAGAAATATATATTTTTTATTAAAAGCAGAAAGGTATGTGTGTTTGTTTAATCCTTCCCTTAAAGTCAGGTACAGTTATAAACTTCGGCCTCATGGTGTATGGGATAAAACCCGGGGTAAATCCCCGTACACCCTTGATTGGACCTGGATAACTAATAGTATCCCGGCATCAACGGAACTTTCAGAAAATGCCGAGATATCCGGGTTATCGAGATGAGACTCGACGTCCAAGATTTAAACGCGAAACGTGACTAATTTATTACATACATGATTTCAATAGTCAGTAAAAAAAAAAAAAATGCTTCCCTTCATATTTCACGGTCATCAAAACTTTGCATGAGCCTCCGTTTTTGTTTTGTTTTTTGTCGGTCGAAACATCACCATTCTTTTATTTTCCATCTTTCTCAAAATGTAGATTTTTTATTGTTGTCTTACAGTTGGTGTTAATGTCGTTGATGATCAGAACATTTTTATAACAATATAATATGACATTCATAATTTAACCACTTGTTACTAGTACTTTTTTCCTCTATCAGTGATTTATTCTCAAAAGATGTCGCTATATCAACATTTACCAGAAGTTCGTAATTTCTTTATATACAGCCTAATCTATTGTTTAATCTGCTTTTTTCTTCTGTTTCATAGGCATATTTTCACGCATAATGTCACGTTCGATATAAATGTTATTTTCTTCAACGTTGAGTATAATGCTCATGGAAAAGCCCACATTAGATGTATTTTAATAAAATTCCTAACCCAAGCGCAATTTAATTTCAAGCTTTCATCGGAACAATTTAAGAAAATTGATACAAAAGTAATTGTGTATCAGGGAGTACTATTTTTTATGCATTATTTGATCATTTCATTATTTTTTTTTCAAAATTATATTTTGTAGCAAAATTTTCGTGGCACCCTTTTCTCCTTTTTTTTCCTAAGCATATTCTTTTGCTGTTAATTTTGTAGAGAATTATTTACATAAAATTTATACAATCCCCCCTTTTCATTTGTTGTAGTACATGTAGGTTCGAATCTCCCATGTTACAAGTATCTATATCAAAAACAAGATGTTCTCTTTTTTTTGTTTGAACTTTTACCGCTTGTCTTTTTTATTCGTCGATTTATTTATTTATATTTTTTTTTGTTTGTAAATAATCTCCCGATCCCCCCCCCCCCCCCCACACACACACATCAACGCTTCACCCTTCTCTGGTCTAATTGTGCATATCAATATGATTAACTATGGATTAAAATTTAAATAACCATTTTAAAATGAAGGGATTTTTAAAATAAAGCGCTTGTAAAGTACGCGTATATGTGCATTTATCTCTCTCTCTCTCTCTCTCTGAAAAAAATATTTACGTGCTTGTAGAATACCTTTTAAAGAGGCTAAGGGGTTGTGGCCATTTTTAGACTATATTGATCTCCTTTAGAAGAAGAGCTCCATATGAAGATATAGAAAATGATCAAATTTTAAAACTAAAATTTTTGAAATTTTTCTTTGCCAAATGATAGTTGACAGCTTAAGATATCATATCTAAAAAATTAAGTTAAATCTGGTGGTTAATTTGTTGACCCCCCAGCCTCCTTAATAAGTCTAATTCATATGAGTCAAATTTAAGTATTTGCAAATTGCTCAGAAAACAAGTACACAGTATTTTTAGTCATGCATAGTATATAGACATCGCTATAAATCGCTGTACCCAACGATGTGTTCAATGTCGCGATTAGATTAATTATGCGATATCAAGAAAAATGCTTATTAATAAACAGAATTATGAATAAATACATGTACTAAATAGTAATAATATTATTTATTACAAATTTCATCATCAATTTTCAAATAGTTTTTTATTTCACCTGGAAATCCAATTTCATTTCTTGTTCACGAAACGCAGTCGACAAAAATTACTTCCGTGTTTACAACACCGCGACTTTGACGTCGTTTTCTGAGCATTATGACGTCAAAAGATAAGGGCCCTTTTCTCATGACGGCAGTCAATTTGTAATATACAATATTGTGGTAGAGGGTCTCTATCGCTAAACTCTGTCAGCAAGATCTTTAGCCTCGAATTTCCACCTTCGGTTTAACTAAATCATTCATAGAGAAAAACTGTAACAATGCACCATTTTTCAAATAGGATGACCCTCTCAGCTATGTTAAGGAAGGCCTGAGTTCACATCTGTGATGCACCGTATGTGATGTTTCATCGTGACGTCATTGAAAATTTAACAAGCGACAAAAATCTATTTAATTAACCACATGATAATGCGTAAATACATCTTGCATTCATTTATTTTATCAATTATTTATAAAAGCATGTAAAATCACAACATTTGATAACTATATTGCCGAGTTATTAGAAGCAAATCTTGTTTCATAAATGACGTCACTATGCTTGACTTGACGCAGTACAAGTGATCCAGAGGAGTGGATCCATTGGTTTAATAATGACAGAAATGCCTAAATAAATATAAAACCATTGCCAATGTTTAAATATAGTCAATTAAATTAAAAGGAAATAATTGATTTAAAACAATGATGTAGATTGTTAATTTATCTAGGTGCTATGAAGCTGTACAATGACAGAGAATGTAAAGAATATCGCAAACACGACAAGTGTATACCTGATTAACTTCAAAAGTGCAAGGGCATAGACTAGACTGTTTGAGCTGAAATATGGAATATCAATTGCTTATATCATGTATATTTTGAAAAGTGCTGGGAGCTGATTCTAGTTGGCATAACATTATTTTTATTCCTGACAGAATTTAAGCGAAGTGGAAATTCTGAGCTATTATACGCATTTTCGGCAAAATTACAAGCATTTCCGAAACAGCTCAAACTAGCTCCCAGCACTTTTCGGGAAACCGATGTTAATCTTTTTTTATATGTATCAATTTTTTTCTCTAAAAACATGCATGTGCCCTTGCACTAGCCTAATTTTCTACATTCAGCTGAACAATTCTATTTTTATACAAGTCACGTGACACACAGCTGATACATGCGATGTAACTGGTACTGAGTAAGCCACAAACCTATCCATTATGGATATTTATATTACCTTTCCTACATGTTTACAGTTACTTTGTTACAAAGATTTTTAAAAATAATACGTATTAAGTATGTACTAAGATCGCATTTTCCATTTCCTTCCTTAACGTAGCTGAGCTTATACATTTATCCCTACCCTATTCAAAGACGTTACCCTCTCTTTCCACGTTAAATTAGGAGACAATCTGCGTGTATATAACAGCTAACGCTTCAACATATGTGTAACATTCTGTGTATTTATTGTAACAAGAATTGAAAAATTGCAGAGGCCTAGAAGAAAATTCCCCCCAGTCAATGGCAAGTCATCCTCCTATTCGCTGCAGACAGTTGCAGCAAACATTTCAATATTTTTACTGCAATTAGTTATTTTTAGGGGCGGCTTTATATTTTCTTCTCAGAATTATTTGTCCGACAATACATGTACCAGTCTGTATGTACAACCCTCAATTTAAATCGCTTTCTATCCCAGTGCGATTTTTTTAAATGAATGTCTCAGAAATCTGTTAAGGACTTAATAGCACACTCAGATGGCAATTTTTGGTAGTATTAAACAGATATGATATTTCTCGCGCTAACAAATGAATATTAAAATTTCTTAAATTTTATTAACATCTAAAAATAACAATAAAGAAATACAATCTGTATTTACTACTAGTATTTTAGTAATAATACAGCATAACATGTTTGGCACTATTATGACAATTGTGGCCCTTCAAGAATATTTCTTGGTCTTTTTTAAATAGCACTATGTATTCATCAGGAAGCCACGAGACGTTCATTCGGCTCTTACGTTCATCTTTCTATGACGTCTGGCCTCCGTTCCCAATAAGTCACAAGCGTCTTGTCATGAATATTCACTGAAACACGTCTTTCTTGAGTCGTAGAGTTTTCTTTGTCTCCAGTTTATTCAAGCGTTCAGTCATCTACACCAGAAATAAATAAATAAATAAATAAATAAACCGTATATAAAACAGTCATTATTCAATCTTAAAAGAACTGAAGTTAAAATTGTTCGGTTTTGTACTGGAAAAGGAATTCCGTCTGAATAATATTGTGATTAAAATCGTGATATATTTATAATTATATCAATTAATTTTAATAATCATAGTTTCATTATTATTTAATATTCTAAAAAAAAAAAAATTAAATTTCAAAACGCAGATGCATGTAGCAAGGTGAGCTAAATTGATGCTTATACTAAATTAAAAAAACCTCAGAATTATTAGTGTTACTATAAGAATTATTTTTAATAGCCATGCACTAAATTCAAAATTAGGTTAACTTAATAAATATAAGCATTTTCAAAGACTGTTTAAGTATCGCTTGTTTACCTTAGCGACGATCTTGAGTGCAATGCTGTGACCTTGAATTCTTTTGGCTGTGTCAAGGACGGTGTAAATGGAAGTTGTAGTTGTACAAGTTTCCAGAAAATCTATACATAATTCTACTAAATCTGGCAAGTCAAAGCGATGGGCGGCACAGGTCAACTCTAACAAGAAACAAAATACAACTATAATTTTGAAACAGAGAGAGAGAGAGAGAGAGTTTGAAGAAGACATAATTTCCCTTTAGAAATGTCAATTATTGATTTGTAAATGGTATTTGAAAACATTTAATTCATACAACACAAAATATCGTTTTACATTTAGAACTTTGCAAATAAATTAAACTCATTTGTCTTGTAATACCTGTTACTTCCTGTGGCTTGATGTCGACACTTCCGGTGTGAATGTACGCTACCAGCCTCTTAAAGATGCCCACACTGACGTCAGGGATGTTGACCACTGGTTTTTGGTTTTCTACGGGTTTAATTTTCTTTGACTTTTTCTTCTTTGAAGCTACACCAGCTGCTTCTTTTGTAGCCTTGAAAATCAGCTGATAGAATATCCTAAAATAGATAAAATTATGTTTTACAATAGTATTTACGGGATATTGGAAATTTGTTCTTAAAAGTGGAACTTCGTAGACCATAGGGAATTTTACAAAATTATCTGAGCAAGAAGCAACTTAAGCCGCCTCCCTTTTGAGATCGTCTTGTCCCTTTATGAAAAAAGCATTTTTTTAAAATTTAATTTTTAACACATTTAAATCGATCTTAGTTCTTAGCCCCCCTCCCATCCCCGAATTGGCAAAAAAGTTTCTTGTGTTTGTTTTCCCCTCATACTTTTGGAAAACTAATTTTAAAAAATTGCTAACAGTTAAACGATGAAGCATATACTAGTAATACATAAAAAAAAAATATGTACCTGCTCCGCGTGGACATTATCGATTTCAAGCCATGGATAGGTGTAAGGCTTGGGCCCACTAAGAAAATGACGTCACAGAGGTCAGGCATGGTAATCACGTGGTTCATAGCCTCTCTCACTGTCTCAGTGTTAACGAATTTCATGGAATCCTCATCCTCAGAATCGGATGATTCGTCTTCAGACCACGCCTCTTTGGTAAACCCCGCCCCTTTTCGTCCGCATGATTCATCCTCACTTTCTGATTCGCTGATGCAGGAGTCTGTGTCACTGATTTCACTATCCGAGTCATCATCATCGCTTATTCCTCGCCAAGCCCAACGAAGAGAGTCGTCCGGACTTTTCGTTGTGTTAATTTGGATATCTATTTCTGAATTCGAATCATATCCCGACGAAAAACCTATCAAAACAGACATATTACTCAATTTATTATGTCCTTCGAAATTATAAAATAAATTGTTTTTATTATAAATATATTTTGTAGAGAAATACAATTCATAAATTCAATTTGTTTAAATTTATTAAAATCTCATTACCAGGCGATTTGAAATAAAAAATTTTTCAGTTTTAAAAAGTTATACTACCAGTAAACAAGTTCTAAAGATAACTACTGGCACAGACAAATAAAAATGATGTAGAAATTTTGAAATAGAAAATTCGTACCTTCGTTATGTGCGCCACTTTTGTCGTAAGATCTAAGGAGACAAGTGGTGGATCCAAACTCATTCAGCTCCATAATGGTTATTTAATGAGAGATTATAAGTTACTTTAACTTTGCAGTGCTAGTAATTAATAATTTTTTCTATGACCTACTTTATATATATACCTATTCTTGACATATTTTTAATCAGTCAATATTGACAGAATGAACACCGTCCATGTCATCGTTATCGTTCGAATACTGGTCACCAGTGGTCAGTGTCTGAACTGACGTGTGAAATCAATCGGGTAAATAAGAAAAGAGGTCATTATTTCTCGGACAATGAAAAGGTGTAATTATCAATTGATGAAAACTAATTATTTGACACCTATTTCAGTTAAGGTAGTGTCAAAATGGCAAGTATATTTTATGCTGTGCTTAAGTTTTCAAAAACGTTCTTGACATTAGGAGATTAAATTTTCAGTCAGAATAAGTTGATGTGACGTTGGAAACCTTTAACTTCCTATCAGATGTATATATTTCTGTTTTTTGAAAGAAGAATTTATTTGGGTATAGATATGCTGATCGCTTTTAGAAATAATTTTTCTGGCTACAAATTTCACGAGTATCAGGACCTTATAGTTATATTTGACTCCTTATTTAAAGTGACAGTACGGCGCGTCTCATCAAAAAACTGACTAGATAAAATTTTCCGACAAGATTTGGAATTTTTTTACTACTGATAAATGTATAAACTTTCAGAAAATTACAACTTTTACAATTAAATAATTTGGATTATTTCATTAAAATTAATAGTTATTCATGGGACGTAAATATCACACCTCCCAACCTTATCAATATTCAGGGTCATGAACCCAAGGGAGCATCCATTGCAACAGATAATTATTTCCACAAAGAGAGACAACTCAAGAATTTTTTAATGGTATAGTCAATTTCTTTTATCAATTTAGATCCATCAAGTCTGAAATTTGTAAAGTGTTATTAATTGTAAAAAAAAAAAAAAAGAAAAAAAGAAAAAAGGAAAGAAATTATTATGGTTTCATATCCTTTATTTAATTAATCAGGATCACATCCAATCGATGTTTATGTTGAGTTAGTATAAACATAACAACAACACAGTCTATCTAATTTCACTATACATGAATGTGTAACTTAATTTCCATTTAATAAATATCCTTATTTTCAAGTATACAGTATTTGATTTCACATGTATCTGGTAGATGTAAATATTTCTGGAAGGTATCTACCTACAAAATTACATTCAATTAATATTTGGTTAAAGTTAAATTATTTAACAAAAAATGTACATACAGGTATGTACAAAATTTATAACTCAGGACTCGTATATAAAAAAAAAATGGCAATGTGAACAAACATCATGTATTCATTTTTATTTACAAGAAATGAACTCCTACAGGTTGACAGACAATGGAATGTTGTACAACAAATGAAGTTGTTAATTACAGAGCATATGTTATAATAAAAATTAAATTGTTTAACTATGAAGAATAAATTTTTAAATAATATCTAGATATCCTTCACAAGCTCCCTAAATTTTAAACAACTTATAATAAACAAAACTAAATACATGTACATGTACCTACTGAATTCTAGTTTTTTGTTTTCCTTCCTATTTAAACAGATTCAAGTTCCATTTTTTTTAAATAATATTAAAACCTAAATAAAAGCCACTGAAAGACTAACATTGTGTTTCTTTCTTTTACTGATAATCTGTTTTAAAATACATGTGTAATTAAAATACGTAATACATGTATATTAGACATGCAGTACCAGAGAGAGATAGTTATAGCCCCCTACTTTTTTCTAAACATATTCTACTACTGTTTTATAATTGAATAAAACATGAAGACAGAAGTTTTATGTTACATAATATTTTGTAAACTATGGACTCTCTGAATAGGCAAATTCTTCTTTTCTTAGGAAGGGATCCTCAAATGATGTTTGGACACTTCTTAAGAATAGAAAAGATTCATCCCAATCCTCATGAATTCAGCAATCATTTGTTACATTGCCTGGAAAATATAAATGCAATAATATATAAGATTGCTTTATTTATAATGCATCATCCATTAATTTGAATCAATATAATACAGTCAAGCCTTATTATCTTGAACTCAATGGGACCGATGAAAAACTTTGAGATATTCAAGGGGTTGAGAGCTTGAGGGTAACATACAAAGAAGACAAATGTGGTTCAAGGGACTTCAAAATGACTTTGACATCTCCATAGTGATCAAGATATCACTCAGTGTTCGAGATACCAAAGTTGAACCCTAAACTGAGTATAAAAAAAAAATCATATTATCATATTAGTAACAGCATGCCCCTTTGTTAGATCAAGCACGCTTAAGTTTCATATGTTGAACACCATATTTCTCATTGACTGGATGTTAAATTTCATTGAAATGAATACTACTTTGCATATGAAATAGAGAATTCAGCAACACACTGATAATACTGAGCAGTCGCATTGAATGATTGTTTACAATGACAGCATTTGTAATAAGCAACAACACATGGTCAGTCAAAACCATTGTCGGCTTCTCTGTTCATGTGCAAAATAGTATTTCTTATTATTGAAATTAAATGTCAAATCAATGAAAAATATGGTGATCAACATGGGAAACTGCATGCTTTATCAAACAAAGTTACATGCTGTTATTGGAATAGTAGTATATGCCATATATAGATGCAAAATCAATTTATTATTATCCAGTTAAAGTATTTCATTGAGGGAGTTAGCAAGATTCCAGTTCCCCAAGGCCAGGACTACTTCCCACGGCGAAGCTGAGGGAAATAGTCCTAGTCGAGGGGAACTGGAATTTTGCTAACTCCCTCAATGATATACTTTTAACTGTTTTATTATACCGATACAAACGTAAAATTTAGAGGATTCAGATAGCGTGATTTCAAAGCAGGGATTAGCTCACTGAACTAACACATGGGATTAGTCCATTCACATATACCAATGTTAAAGTAAAACCTAGAGGATTATGGATAACCGGGAATTAGCTTTCGAAGCAGGGATTAGCTCACTTGACTAACACTTGGGGATTAGTCCATAGTCCATTCTTAACAATTTCTATGGAAATAGTCACATCTAACGATCTAATGTTATACAGGGAAAAAATCAGTAGAGGTATAATAATGTTCATAAATAATATGCATGAGAAAAAGATTTGTACAAAATAAACCAATTAAATATAAATAAATCATATGCATTTCCAAGTGTTAGCAAATCATTTATCTAGGTAATAATGATGAATGTCAACATACCCCAGGTAGTCGAAATTGTTTGATTTTAAGATACTGAAGTTTAGCTGTACTTAATTAGACTGCACTATATTCAAATGTTTCTCAACAACACACATTTTTCACGTGTTGTAATGATAGGAGTTAAGCCCCTTTTCTATGCCCCAAAATATTGTTTTCCTTTCTCTGATATTTGTAGATATTTTAACCACATACAGTTTGTGAGCTCTGTTGATTATTCATAACCAGCTATTTTAAGTTGCAACTAGTTTGATGTTTAAAGATTAATTGAAAGACAGAAAGATAAAAAACAAACTTAAGTCTCCTTAAAATTGGAAATAAAATTATGACAACTTATTTTAGCCCCCTCTTAGCCTAAGATCCATGAAATGAACAAAAAGGATTTTCCAATATTTACATAAGATCCCCCCCCCTCCTTAACTATTTCCAGATAAATATTTTACCCCTAATTATGGCCCATCCTTAACCCTGGATTATGGGATTCTTTACTAAGATGAATTTATTCATGCATAATAATATGATTTATGGTGGGCCTGACTTTTAAAAGGCTTTTACCCTAAATATTTCAGAATAAACTTTGATTCCCCACTGTGGCCCTACACTACCCACAGGGAATATGGTTCGAAAAAATCTGAATCTGCTCTGCACTATCTCTGAGGATGCTAGCAAGATAATATGAGTATAATGACTTATCATGACCTGTCTGTTCTTGACAAGAATTAAGACTTTAACAAGAGGCCCATGTGTTCACCTGAGCACATCGGCTAGGAAAAAGCACAAATCAGTTCAGTATTGAAAAGTTTACAAGGGGGGGGGGGGGGGGGATTTTATACTACTAAACTACTTGAGGTTGCCTCAATATCCATATAGCATATAACTTTGCTGTTCTTGAGAAGAAGATTTTAAAAGATTTTTCTATATATTTTTATGTAAAATTTGATTGGCCATTATGACCCCACCTTATTCCGAGGGGTCATGATTTGAACAAACTTGAATCTACACTACCTTGACTAACACTTGGGGATGCATGCTTCCATATACATATCACCAATCATGGCTTTACTGTTCATGAGAAGATGATTTTTAAGAATTTTTCCTATATATTTCTATGTAAAACTTTGACTGGCTTTATTATGGCCCCATCCTACCCCCTGGGGTTATGATTTGAACAAATCTGAATCTACACTACCTGAGGATGCTTCCATATGAAAATCATCAATCATGGCTATGCTGTTCTTGAGAAGAAGATTTTTTAGAATTTTTCCTATATATTTCTATGTAAAACTTTGATCGGTTATTATGGCCCCACCCTACCCCTGGGGATTTGAACAAACCTGAATCTACATTTTGTCAAGCAGCTTTCACTTAAATTTAATTTTTTTTTTTTTTCTAGCCCTCCGGTTCTTGAGAAGAAGATTTTTAAATACAGCCAATTTTCACTATTTCTTAGTTATCTCCCCTTGAAAGAGGGTGTGGCCCTTCATTTGAACAAACTTGAATCCCCTTTACCCAAGGATAATCTGTGCCAAGTTTGTTTGAAATTGGCCCAGTGGTTCTTGAGAAGAAGATGAAAATGTGAAAAGTTTACAATGACAACAACGACAGACAACAGACAAATTTTCATCAGAAAAGCTACCTTGAGCCACAGGGACTTGAGACAATCTTAGCAAAATCGGGTATATAGCTATAGTATAATAGGGGAGCCCTTTTATACTATATACCCGATTTTGCTAAGATTGTCTCAAGTCCCTATGCCTTGAGCCTTCGACTCAGTTGAGCTA